ACACACACACACACACACACACACACACACACACACACACACACACACACACCTTTCTAATTATTTGTCTAAAGGCCCAAAGAAAGCAGATACTTAATGTGTGCCTTACAGATCTGAAGTAAAGAAAGACACAAAGGAGTCTTAAAACCCTTCTGAGCTACAAAGGCGCCCTGACTCTGACCCACTGTGACAGTGCTAGCTGAAACCAAGTGTCAGTATTTTATGTCTTACCTGTTTGACTTTGCACTTTTTATTCAGAGGTGATCAAAGGAAATGGCAGAGTTGAAAGTTAAGACATAGCCAAAATCCTGTCTGTAGCTGGAAAAAAGCTCCACTTTCTCCCCATTTTACTCTTAAACTTGCCAAGCCTTGTTCCCTTTGGCTTTATTTTTAAAATGCATTTCTGATGGGTGAGGAAAGTTTTTGTGCTGTGTTTTCAATGACTCACCCAGAATAACTCTATTGAAATTGTAAAGGGTCCTGTTCTGAATGTAGATTTTGTTTGTTCTATAGTGGGCCTGAACCAGCTGCAGAAAATAGATTAGAGACAGGAAATGTTGTGGGAGAAGCTAGTATAGTTCATATTTATTTAGGGTCAGGTGAATGTCAAAGAAATGATTTTCTTTAAAAAATATATTGTGCATATGTGTGTGTGTGTGTGTGTGTGTGTGTGTGTATGTGTGTGTATATTCAGTGCACATGCTCATGCATGCTCACATGTGAAACAACCATTATGAACACTGTCCTCATAAAACTTTTCAAATATATTAGTACTAGATTGATATGTGGTATATCCAGGCACTAACACGTTTTCTTTCATTTTTATAAAAGGGACAAAGAAAGTTTTATATAGAAATACATAATTCTAAATCTATGTATAGTAAAATTTTTAAGTTCAAACTGGTTTTAGTGAAAAAGAAATTATATATAAAAGTACAAGTGTTTGGAAATAAACAAGTTAGGAAGAAAATGTATATCAAAAAATTGATCACATTACAGGACACTTGGGAATTTAAGACGTTATCCTGTTTTGTGATATACTGCAACAAAAAAGTCTTACCCACAGCAAGGACTGGCATAAAGCAAGCAGTTGATATAGATCCATACACCTCTGTGAAACCTTGCATGATTCGAGATGTCGGAGATCTTTAAAAGCAACATTTTACGGCAAGACTGAGAAGAAAAAGAAAAGAGATGAATTCATACTTGAGAATCTAGGCTTCACAGATGAATTGCAAATATTTTGGCTTTCCCATATGTCCAGTAAGGAGATTCCAAAGCCTCCTTTGAGCTGTTTTTTAAATTCACAAACCAAACCAAATGAAGTTTATTTATTCTGTTACATAATCTCACTTCTCCATTGTGGATGAAGACTAGATGGCATTCTTACTTGCTGCTCAGAAACAGGAGAGAACTGAGTCAGTGGGGGGAAAAAAAGAAGCTGGCTACAAATTCATTGTAGAAAGAGTAAATCTAGTGTTCTATAAACGTGAAATTGTGGCCTGAGAGCAAGTGATAAAACTGGCAAGCTTCCAATGTGTATAACATCAGAAAACATATGACTTGCCTGTTGAATAAATAATATGTAAAGCAGTTTTCAAGTGGTATTTACACCTTTCCCTTTGATGTGTACTTGATTAAAAAAAAAAGGAAAATAAAAGTAGCAGATGGTTGTGCTATACTAGTGTTCCAATAAGGAAAGTTCCAATAATTACTGATTTTTTTTTTATTAGTCTGGAAAGTCTAATAACAGGCTTGAGTTGTATACCTGATAAAATTTTATTTCTCTAAAATATGTACAATAACTAGCAATACTAAAACAAAATATATTTTAATAATTAATAATAACTTACTGGAATAGATCAAAGAACTGACCAAAGTCAGACTATCTTTCAGCAGAGTTCATTTATTATACTTGTTTTATAAATAAATCATTGGGTATTTCTGAAGAATTTATTCTTATTGATTGACATTTTCCTTCATTTTTTTTTTATTCTATTTGGGAATTTCCCCCCTGCTATCACTGGAAATGCTAATAGATGTTGAGGGAACCATGAGCTCTTCTTCTGAAATGAATTCCAGCATTATTGAGCTAACCCAAATTGTCATGTTTGTTTAGAATAAACCCTGAAGGTGCCTCCTTTGTGCAGTATATACTACATCAGTCTCACATAAAATATGTTTTAAGAATTGCCCAAGCTTTTAATTGGGATTGAACTGAAATAGAAGAAAGTAGAGAAACAGTAATACAGTATGTAGTGTTATCACAAAAAAAAGAAAAATTATTTGATATAACTACAATTCTTCCATCTCAGATCAGATTTTGAATAAAATTTTGATTTCATAGATATAAAGGAAACAGTATCTTAACTAGAATCAAAAGGCTTCAAAGTAACTAGCACCAAAATAAATCTTGTTTTCTAATTTGAGGCATTTGTTAAGAAATTTTACATGATATCATATATTTCTTATGCTATCATATATTTCATATTACTGAAGCTTTTCCACCTAAAATTTTATTTAACCACAATATGCTTTTTGTTCTATCCTGAACTTACTATAATGTATAAAATATCCTTATAAAATGGAAATAGAAGCTAGTCATTAGAATTACAGTAATTTCTTTCATATAAAATTGACTTTTTTGTCTCTTGTAACATAGTAACTGCAACAGCCCTAGTGAACATCTACTTAATTTTGTGTAACCCTCACATTAACTTGGGAAGGTAGTTATGATTGCAATTTCACATATGAACAAAGTGATATCCAGAGAGAAGGAAAACATTCAACTTTAGTCTGATACCAAAGGCCTTCCCCTTTCCACTCTATATTGTCTACTGACATTGTCCATATTAATATAACTGTATTTCTCTTCTTCATAAGCATCAATGACCTAGTCAATATTTTTAAGCAATGCAGATTTTGCAACTGGTCTAGCCTAGGGTACTTGCTTGGAAAACAACCAATGCCTTAACTTACCTCAGGTTTAGCATTCATCATTGAATAAATCAAATACCTTGGGCATTAAAAATAACCTCAGAGTTGACCACACAAATGCTTTCTGATAGATGTTCTTCTTAAGGAAATATACTTTTATCATTCGCCATTAAGTTTTGCAATGTAAAATAAAATATTTCTGCTACTGCAGATTCAATAATTGCTATACTTTATTCTAATTATACTTCCTGGTTTACTCCCTTTTTTCTTTGATTGTGGTTGAATGACTTGCAAATATAAGCTATACTTCATTATTACCTTTCCCAAGAATTTTTTAACTCTCTAAAAATCAAACAAAACTAATTAAAAAATAATATGCATTGGTAAAAAAACACAAAGTGAAATATCCCTAATTTGTCTCCTTTGAAAAAGAACAATTACAAATAGACAACTTACTTCAAGCAGTCAGTATTCCATGTAGAATAAGTATTGTATTAGGAGTACAAGAATGATATTAAAATCTGTTCCATAATCTCTCATGTTTACAATGTGGCTGGTAAACTAAACATATTGTCTGGATCCAGTCCTATTATTTGCTGCATAATTCAGTACCCCAATAAATGGTGTGTACATTCTGTCATATCAAGGAACTGTTAGCGAGTTATGATCATGACTAGTAGAACAACAGTGAAGACATTCTGGATCACCTGGTCTGTCCATTCAGGTATTAGGCAGAATAGGAATGAATTAAGAATCAAGGGAAAAGAGCCAGCAATAGTACATGGCTGTGACAGAATGGAAGCCGGAGACAGCAGATGGGTGGGACAGGATCCAACAAGGTCCTGGATAAAACTATGAGGCAGTATACTCTGCAGCATTTGACCAACCCTAACAAGAGTTCTCTGGGCACCTCCTTTTCATCTGTCTCATCTTTCCACAGACAGCTGCTTTGGAAGGATACTAAAGAGTTAACTTCACCCTTAATATAGAACTCCTGAAAGTCTAAGACATATTAAGAACGAAGAGATTCTTTAATAGTGAAAGATCAAGCCACTGAGATGCTAGAAACATCTTTCTAACTCCCTTGATGTTTCACCATAGTGAAGGAGATAATACTGTGATGGCTCTGGGAAGGCAGACTGGATTTTGGCTTCGATCTTGGGGATATTGATAAACCAGCAGGAGTTGTTGTTTCCAACAATAAATAATGATGTATTGGGAACTATCAGGTCATGCTAGAAAGAAGATAGGGAACAAACACAAGAAGGTCAAGGTGCTCTTTTAAAAGTGCATGCACAGAAAACTAGATACTGTTATACCTCAAGAACAAGTTCCCAAAAATTATTTCCCTTGCTTACTAAAGCATATTTAAATTGAAATTTTATTAACTGTAAATATCTATTTCAAGTAGAAAATTTCTTCCTTAAAATTTTAATTATGTAAAAGTGTTCTTTTTCGTAAAGGTAAGACCAAAACAAGCTTCTTCCTTTGTTTTCAGAGTTCAGCCCTTCACAATAAAATACTGGAAACCTATATTAAGTGTAGATAGCTTAGAAATAACATGACAGAGGATGTTCATTGCTTGATATGTCCCATTTTGTCTCATTCTGGATAGAATTTGAATTCTTTTTTTTTTTCTCATAAGGGATAAAAATATGTTAAAGGGGGATGCCGAAGGTCATTTAAAAGCTACTTCAGAACCTTGGCACCATCTGCTTCTTGTCGCATCTCCTAGCCCCCAAATCCAAGCAGTTAGCTATCACTCCATTTCCCAGGTCATTTCTTTCCTGTCAGCAGCTTCCATGTGGTTATGTCCATTCTCTCTCAGCCCAGTTCACAGCTCGCATAGCCAGGACGCACGTTCCTCAAGCGTGCAAGCAGCACCAGGGGAAGCTTTTACACTTGGACAGTACCATCTCCGGCTTCTTTTCATCCTTGCCCAACCCCTCAGGCATCCCACACTGAAGCAACGACTCAAAGAATAGATCTCAGGAGCCCGGTCACTTGTTCGCACGCGGGGGCGGCGGGGGGGGGGAGCGTTTTATGAGACTTGGCCTGGGCACTTTACCTCTATTTCTGGGTGAGCGAGGAGTTGAGAGAAGGAAAAGCTATAAGCAAGCAAAAACAAACAAACAAATCTGGCTCTTGCCTGAGCCAACCGCGAAAGGGGCGGTTCGCCTCCGGGCCTGTCAGGCCAAGCCCCGCCTGGACTCGCCTCTTCTGCTCCCAGCAAGACAGCCACCGGAAGGGGGCGTGACCTCCTCCGTGGGCGGGGCGCACAGCGCCGAGGGGCGGGACTGGGTCCGGCGGGGGCGTGGCCAGGCAGGGGGCAGGGCGGGGCCTTGGAGTGGGCGGGGTCGGGCCGTCCTGGCGCTCGGCGCCTACCCCGCTTGCCGGAGCCACTCGCGCTCCTGCGCCCCGCCAGGCCGGGTTCACGTGAAGCGCCGGCCCTCCGCCCCTCCCTCCCTTCCTTCCCTCCCTCCCTCCCTGTCCCCTCCTCCTGCGGCGCCCGCTCCCGCTCCCCCCCCCCGGGCCCCCTGCCCGGCTGGGCGCTGACAGCAGCGGCGGGGGTCCCCGCAGCCGCCGCCGTGTCCCGCGCAGGCTCGGGCTGGGCCCGCGGAGCCCCCGGTGCGGCCATGAACCGACCCCTGACGGCGTCGGCAGAGGCGGAGGAGGAACTGGAGTGGCAAGTGGCGAGTCGCAGGAGGAAGGCCTGGGCCAAGTGCCGCAGCTCCTGGCAGGCGTCGGAGACGGAGGATCTGTCCACAGAGGCTACGACGCAGGACGAGGACGAGGACGACGAGGAGGACCTCCCCGGAGCGAAGCTGCCGGCGGCCGCGGGGCGAGGTCGGTGCGCCGGGGCGTGCGGGCGGGGAGGTGGCGTGCTCCGTGCCACCGGGCGCGGGGACCGGACGCCCCCCGACCTTTAAACGCGCGCGTGATCGGCGCTCTAGCGCCAGCATGTGCACCTGGCTGCCGGCTGTCTCCCCTGGGCCGGGCGCCCCGGAAGGCTCCCCGAGGCTGCCGGTTGCCCCCCAGGCGGATTCTCCTGCAAGGGAGTGTCAGGATGGCACAGCCTCTGAGTACTTTTGGGGGTCCCTAACGAGCTGTCCTTTCACTCTGCTCCGCAGGAAACGTGCCCAACGAGAAGATCGCAATATGGCTCAAAGACTGCCGGTGAGTCCTGCTGGGGTTGTCGGGGGAGAAGCGAGGGAATCGGCAGTGTCTCTGGGTCCCGTGGCGGCTGTAAGCTAGAAACCGGAAAGTGAGCCGGCCGATAGCTTCCTTCTTGAAGCGATTAGAACTGGAAGTGTTGTGGCCTCTGATTATTTGTGACTGAGTTAACTTTACAGTTAGAACTGTAAAGTTTAGCAGCCCGAGTATGATGTCAGCATCAGATCAGAAGCTAAAACAGGTCATGGTGATGCTCCTTTGGCTGGTCGTGGCGTTTCTTGAAAGAATTCTGGTGTTTCGTAGGATGTTTTTATTTTGGCATCTGCATATCTGGCACGGAATCATTTTCCTTTCAAACGTGTCTTAGACGAATTTAATTTACTTAACTACACTAACCGGGCTTTAATTTGGGTTGTGTGCCTTGAGTCTCTCTGGGGAGCTATTAAAACTAGCCAACTTGGTCCTTGGAGTTTAACTCCTTGGACACGGGTTTGTCAGATGGCACTGGAATTCGAAGAAGGAAATGGGGCTTTGAAGGCATTCAGACTGCATGAGTCTGTGTTACATGCTTTGGCAACCGGCACAAAAATGTTTGATAAAATACAGAGGGTGGGTTGTATTGCAAGTAAATCTGACTATAGTGAAGTGTGTTTCACCTTTATCTTTTTCCAGTTTATTTGCTTTTTGAAAAATCTGTGTAAAGACTATAGCTTTTAAACATTTGTTGGTATTTGCTGCTGGGCATACTATTGCTTTTTCAAGTTATATTTGCCCTAGGGATTATTCCGGTTTTTTTTTTTTTTTGGTTTTTTTTTTTTTTATTTTGGAAGGTGATTCTTATATATGGTAGTAATGTTTGTCTCCTAAAGACAGATAGAATATTGGCTGTCTCTGTTTTAGTGACTTGAGTAATTGGAGCCATACTGATTGTTGACTGCAGATTTTTTTTTCTTACTTTTGTTAGTGGTGTCATGGACGTCCCTGAAATATTATGGAGTGTATAGACGTTCCTTTTAAAGATGCACACAGGCAAATACATTGCTTCAAGGCATCTTTAGGTTAACAACCAGCTTAGTTTACCCCTTTGATTTCTGAATTACAAGAATATGACTTTTACAAAACACAGTAGTGTGCCGGGGGTTTGGCATCAGAATGGTGTGAAATTGAAAGGTTGAAATTTTAAATGTGCATCTTCAAAATGTGTTATGAGAGGATTTACAAAGCAGTATCTTTGAGATTTCTCCATTGAGGAGTGAAGAGGGTAGTCTGTCCTTGCTTTTGTTCAAGTCTTTAAAGTTTACATCTTGGTCCGGATTTAAAATCCATTCCTGAATACACTTTTGGCTTACCCTTAAAACAGGTCTAATGATTTTTTTTTTTAATGTAAGAAGAAGAGAAAAGTCACATTTTAAAAATGATGTACAGGAATTGGAATTGTAGAAGGAATCGTATCAAGTGGACAGGAAATAAATACATCTTTCAGGTAAATGCAAGTAGGAGAAGGCTGACATTGACCAGGACACAAGTTCAGTCCAGAAAGTTCCAGAAGTTTCCTTGCTAAACTTAATGTGCACAGATTCTGGAGCCTTCTGTCCTCCTCTCATAGACTTCTTTGTTGTTCCGATAGTCACCCCTATTCAATACACAAGCAGTATTCATTTGTGCCTGGGAAAGTTGGAACATGGAATCTTTTAGTGTGGGCTAGTCTGTTGTAGATTTGACTGCTACGATATTTGCAACTGTATTTTTTAATAGCAATGTGGGGTCCTTCTCAGAGTTGAGTGTTACTGTATTTTGTATATTATTTCCAAATGATTTGAAGGACAGTCTTTTCCTTCCTTGCAATGCTCTGTTTTCCCATTGCTATTCGTATCCTGAGTGAAGATGTCATACTTTCCCTTCTCTGATGGAGTCTTTATTCGTCCTGATAACTATTTCTTTTTTCACCAACCAAATTGACTAAAGCTATGTCTAGGAAGCAGTAAAGATTCCGATGGGATTTGGAAGAGGGTAGTGCGGAGTAGAGAACATGCTTTTGAAGAAGGGGGCCAGTTCCATTCTGCCTCGTTTGCCATTTTCTCTGCAGAACAGCACAGGCAGCTGTGGACACAGAAATACACTGTTTGGGCCCAACTAAGAAAAGAGCCATCAGGAGAAAAAAAAAACAAAAAACAGTTTCTTAATGACATAAATTAGAGCGTCATTGAAATGTATGCAAAACCCTAGAATTAAAGGTTTTATCAGTTCCCATATGGTACTTGCTCATGATTCTTTTACATCTCAAAAACACGAAATTTCAAAGAACTATCTTGTTTGTGTATTTGCTTGCACTTTTAATTGGCTTTCTGTAGCATTTCTTTAAAACAGATAGCTTCCAGGATAGATAGATCCCACTTCTGATATAGACTGTTAACAGGTAGGAACTGTCACTGAAAACTAAAGTTTGTATCACAGAATAGAACCTCCAGAATAAAAGAATGTCTCTGTGACTCAAGTCACGAAACTAAGTTGTCTTGAGAAAAATAAAGATATCTCTTAATTGAAAATCAATTCTGAGACATTTGTGCTTGAACTACAAAAAGGGGGGGAGAATCAGCCAGCATTGGCTGATCCTTCACTCTGACATCCAGGCTGAGTTGAGGACTTTCCAAAGTTAAGTGATGAAAATGTGTCACTTTTTTTTTTTTTTAAGTTTAAAAGCAGAAAGTGACTCTCAGGCTACTCTGTGCTTCTGAGAAAGGCTTTTGTTGAGGTAAAGAACAGCTGCTTAGGTAGTAGTCTGGACGGCCAGCTCCATCGACAGGTAAGACAGAATTAAGAACCCTTGAGCTTATTTCCCAACTCCTGTAACTGTTTGTTTTACTAAAGTTGCTTACCACTGAAATTTTGTTTTCTTCCAATCCTGTTGTTTTTGTTTTCTTGCTTGTTTGGTGGTTTGGTTTTGGTTTGTTTCTCAGCAGAAGGGATTGAGTGAAACAATTCCTTAGCCTTTTGTCATGATATCCACCCCAACCCCAACCCCAACCCCCGTTTTTTGCAAAGAAAATAGCAATTTATATCATGTGCAGTTGCCATTCCTGCTTTTAATTACTGCGGAGCAGACCTGTGATTAAGTCACTGCTGGTGACCTGACTTGACAACACGTAGTTGCTTAGAAGGACGACGTTACTTATGTAAGGCACTCACATTCCTGGTGTTTGGGGAGGAGCGCTAAGTTGATTAAGATGCTTGCTTAGCTCTAACTCTGCAGTGAAGCTGTGCAGTGACAGTTCCCCAGATGGGTCTCCAGAAGACTGAGGCTTCTGTGTTTCTGTGATTGCAGCACCCCTTTGGGAGCCTCACTGGATGAGCAGAGCAGTGGAGCACTGAAGGGTAAGAGGAAGTTCTCTTTTTTTCAGAACTGAGAATCTTCTTTAGTCCTTTAGGTGAAACTGTGTTTGAATTACACAAGTGAGGCTCCTGTTTATAAAATGCGCCGTTCTGAGCTAGAAGCCAAAGGGAAAATACCGTCATAAGCCGTAAAAGAAGAGTAACATTGAGTAACTGTGTTTCCCAAAGCGCTTCACAATGTCGTACTTATATTCTTATTGCCCAGTTAGATATTATAAAGGCTGATTAAATATAGACTATGATATGTAAATATAAAGAAAATTCATAATGAGTGAACAAGGTTAACTTTAGTGTGGCATTTCTTTGCTTACACTAACTGAAATTGCCACACCTGAAATTTTAACACCTGTGCAAGACAAAATTCTCAAGTTCAAAGTACAACAAGAATGCACAGGTAATGACAAGGTGAATAAAAAGCATTTACAGTGTCGGAAAAACAAAGCTTGAGACCCTGATGTAACATGAAGATGTAAAAGTTATGACTGCTTCAGGACCTGACTTTCTATGGAACTCTTTGGTAAAGTATTTTGTCTAATCAAGTATCTTCAGAGGCATAAGAAATATAAAGTATAACTCCTGAGTTCTGGAAGTTTTACCTGGCCACAGACGTCATTTCTGTACAACAGAGAAAAGGCTTGTTTGCTTCTTCTTAAAATGACAATCTTAATAGCTTTTCAGTATATTCAGGTTTGAGATATTTTCCTGTGGTTTGTGAAATAGTTTGCTTGGTCTTGGTCGACTTGTTTAATTAACGACTTTGTACGATAATGGAGAATGGTGAAGAGCAGATCATGACAGTATGGTTTCTTAATTTTCACACTTTGCTCTAGGTGTGCTTGTGAGAAATGGAGGAAGCTTCGAAGATGACTTGTCGCTGGGAGCTG